AGAACATGGTAAGTATTTTAGTTGATAGGGATCTAAGGGGAGCAAGTGCTGGATGTTCAAAGGATGAATGATAGGCTATTAACTGTTGAGATAGTGATTGGTGGGTTAACTTTTAACGTGATTAGTGCTTACGCGCCTCAAGCGGGCCTGGGCAAGGAGGTCAGAAGGCGTTTATGGGAAGATTTGGACGAGGTTGTGCGTGGTATTCCGCAAACCGAGAAGATCTCATAGGGGGTGATTTTAGTGGCATATTGGGGAGACTTCTAGGGGTTATGACGAGATGCATGGATGGTTCGATTTCGAGGTTAGAAACGACGGCGGTACCTCGTTGTTAGATTTTGCTAAAGCTTTTGACTTGGTGATAGCTAATTCATATTTTCAGAAGACGGAGGGCCACTTGGTTACTTTTCGGAGTAAGGTAGCTAAGACTCAGATTGATTATCTTCTCCTCATGAGGGGTGACAGGGCCTTCGCACTAACTGCAAGGTTATCCCGAGTGAGTGTCTGTCGGCAAAACATAGGATCTTGGTAATGGACTTGGACGTCAAGAGAGCAAGGAAAAAAAGAGCGGTATAGGCCCAACCTAAGATCAAGTGGGGAGCATTGACTAAGAGAAAAGCTCAGGAGTTAGGGGATAAGTTATTGGCTATGAAGGCTTGGAGGAGTAGTAGGACGCGAGTAGCATATGGACCACGACAGTAAACTGCATTAGGGAAGCTGCTAGGGAGGTGTTAAGGGTCACTAAGGGTTACTCGGGTGGCCACAAAGGGGACTGGTGGTGGAATGGGGAAGTCCAAGGAAAAGCGAAAGCTAAAAAATGACATATTTGAAGCTAGTGGGGAGCACGGATGAGGATGAGAAGAGGACGTGTAGGGAGTGTTATAAGAAGGTAAGGAGAGAGGAAAATTAACGGTCACGACGGCTAAGACTACAACATTTGAAAAAATGTATGAAGATCTTGTGGGTAAAAAAGGTGATAGGAAATTGTACATGTTAGCCAAGATTAGGAAATGAATGCTCGGAACCTGGATCAAGTGAGTTGCATCAAAGACGAAGATGGTAAGGTATTGGTGGAAGAGGCGTGTAACAGGCGTAGATGGTAAGAGTATTTCCATAGAATCTTAAACAAGGAAGAGGACAGGAACATTGTGCTGGGTGAGTTGGAGAACTCAAAGAGTTAGAGAGATTTTGGGTTTTGTAGGCGTATTAAGACTGAAGAGTTGGATGTGGCAATACAGAAGATGAGCACGGTAAGACGACTAGGACTAACAAGATCCTGGTAAAAGTTTGGAAGGAAGCGGGTAGGGAAAGTTTGGAGTGGCTTGCTAGATTGTTTAATGTCATTTTCAGGACGAAGAAGATGTCCGAGGATTGGCGGTGGAGTTTGTTGACTCCGTTGTACAAAAATAAAGGTAATATCAAGAACTGCAACAACTATAGGGGTATCAAGCTACTAAGTCACACTATAAAAGTTTAGGAGAGGATGGTGGAGAGGAGCATGAGGACAAGTGTTTCTCCCAAGCGCACACGCAAGCATACGTGGTCGACAAGTAATATAGGATTGTAAGTCTAGATATCGTACCCACAGGGACTTGTGATTAACTATCAACTACATTAAACCCAAACAATTAATCTATTCAAGTGATTTTCTAAAGTATGAATATTTAACTAAAACTAATCTAGAGTAACAAACCAAAAAATTAACGGAAACAAGTCTGCAATCTTAGGGATAAATTCAATGGGAGAAAATATTCTAGAGCTATGGGTTAGCTAACAATCCCATTGAGTTTTTCACTTAAATTGTCTAATTAATTTATCTGATTTATTGATTGACAGGGTTAATATTACTCGTAGTATTCTTCAGAAGTACTACTCGCCTATTCAAGCTAACCTAACGCCTATATTCCTATGAAATTAGGATTAACAAGAATGCATTAGAAATTCATGTATAATAACCAAGCAAGGCGATTAGGTACATTCCTATCCTAACCACAATTCCGTTCCCTCAGGTTCAAGATCTTGCTCTATTCAACCTTATAGCAATCTAGAATTCCCTCTTCCGAGTTCAATCCTAGATTCGTAGATAATATTCAGTTGGTGATCAATCAATCAAATAATTTAGTGCAGGATTGAATAAATAAACCAATATGATAAATTAATAAGAACAATTCAACCTTTAAACTACAACGTTTATGTAACACCCCAAAACTTTAGAACTAATAAAATATGAGATTAAAGGAAGAGAAGAGAAGAAAAACTAGTTAGAAGCCTCCTCCAAGCATGGTCCGTGTTCTCCTTCAATGTATGTTAGATATCCTCAAATTTAGGTTTAGAATCTCTTTTATATGAGTTGGGACCATTTAGAACCGAAATAACCTTGTTCCGAGCGAAGTAGGAGAGTACCACGTCACCCAACGTCACGCTCAATCCCATTCTTCACTTCAATGCCTTGGTTTGGATTTAATTCCTTTATTTTTCTTGTCTTCCACTTGGGGGGACAAACACGGGTGTCTCCCCTTCTTTTATTATTTTAATTTTCTTTCTTTTTCTTTCGCGTTTTATTTAATTTTGTTCCAAATCTCTTCATCTTCATACCACTTTATTCCTACAGAGTTTAAATATAATATTAAGCATGATATAATTAACATTCAAAAGATGATTAAAAGTACTAGAATGTAAGGCAGCAAATGGTTAAATATATGTGTTTTTTGTCGAACACCAACAAGTGTATCTATTTTCGAGAATCAGTTCAGATTTATGCTGGACGGTTGACTACAAAAGCCGTTGACCTTGTGAGACAATTGGTGTAGCAATATAAGGAGAGGAGAAATGACTTGCATATGGTGTTCATTGACCTTGTGAATGCCTATGACAAAGTCCCGAAGGAGGTCCTATGGAGATGTTTGGAGGTTAGCGGTGTCTCGGTAGCGTACATTATGGTGATTAAGGATATGTACGAGGGAGATAAGACTATGATGAGGACTGCGGGAGGAGACTCAGAACATTTTTCAGTGGAGATGGGGTTGCATCAGGAATCGGCTCGTAGCCCGTTTTTATTTGCCCTAACATTCGATCTGCTTACACGACATATACAGGGGGGGGGGGGGTGCCATAGTGTATGCTATTTGTTGATGATATAGTATTAATTGACGAGGCACGAGGCGGTGTTAACGCTAGGTAGAAAGTTTGGAGGCAGACGCTGGAATCTAAAGGTTTCAAGTTGAGTAGGTCGAAAATAGAATACATGGAGTGCAAATTCAGTGATTGGAGGGATGAAGCAAAAGTGAAAGTGAAGATTGATACTCAAGTCATCCCTAAAAAAGACGGTTTTAAGTATCTTGGGACTATAATCCAAGGCAATAAGAGATTGACGAGGATGTTACTCATCGCATTAAAGCGGGGTGGATGAAATGGAGGCTAACTTCGGGGATTTTGTGAAATAAGAATGTACCATCTAGGCTTAAGGGAAAGTTCTACAGAGTGGTGGTTAGACCGATTATATTTTATGGAATTAAGTGTTGGCCCGTTAAGAACTCCCATGTCCACAAGATGAAAGTAGCTAAATGAGGATGTGTGAGATGGATGTGCAGACATACCAGGAAAGACAAGATTATGAATGAAGTTATTAGGGACAAGGTGGGAGTGACCTCTGTGGAGGACAAATTGCGGGAATCAAGGCTGCGATGGTTCGGATATGTGAAGAGGAGAGACATAGATGCTTCGGTCAGGAGGTATGAGAGGTTGACCATGACGGACCTGAGGAAGGGTAGGGGTAGGCCAAAGAAGTATTGGGGAGAGGTTGATTAGGCAGGAGATGTCATTTTTTCACCTTACCGAGGACATTACCCACGGTAGGAAGATGTGGAGGTCGAGGATTGAGGTGGTAGGTTGACAGGTAGTTGTGAGTTTCTCCTAGGCTTACCAATAGTAGTAGTACTATTCTTGTATTCTCTTATTCCTAGTTCTTTATTACTTGTTGTGTCATTCGCTTCCGTTAGCCTATTACATAGCTGCATTATTTTTTACTGTTCATGAGCTTAGGGTGTATCGAAAATAGTCTTTCTACGTTTATAGGGTAGAGTTAATGTCTGCATACACATTATCTCCCCAGACCCCACTTATGGGATTAAACTGGGTTATTTGTTAGTTGTTGTTATTATGTGCTCCATTCATGTCTGTCTTAGTTCAAGTAATCATTGTTCATGAGATAAACGTAATAGTTTAACTAAAACTTATAATCTCAACTAATTGACATTGCTTTCATAAATCTTTTTATTTCATTGTCCCAATTTGTTAGGTTTACATTAAATTTTTACTTGGAAATGATTTGTTCTTTTGACTATATATAGTGACAATCATATAATGTTTTTTTCCCTTCGCTCCTGATATTTTTCTTTATTTGTCTTTTTTCCTATAATTAAAGAATGGAACAAATCAATAAGAGCTCATCGCAGGACTTCTGATCCACTGCAACCATGATGCATGGAGTTCGTGAAACCAAATCGAGGTATGATCATTCTCCATTGTCGCTATATCGGAATTATAATATCGAGATAATTTTTTTTAATAATCGTGATATCCTGGTCAGATTGTGCACGCCTCAACTAATTCCATGAGATACATGCCACCTCCACTACTAATATCGATATTATAACTCATTGAATATAAGAATTTATTGGGTTTAAAATTGATTATTGTACTTATATAATGAATTTTTCAATATATATAATAATTCGAGCCAAAGCTACTATAGTGCAGTTGAATCCAAAACTTGGCATTTTATCCGCCCCTGATGTTGAAGAAGGTGGAACAAGAAATTTATTCATCCAAAACAAGTCTCCTTCATTTCATTGAAGCCTCTGCATATACTTAGCTATCCATAAGACCAAACCTCAAATTAAAATAACAGATTAGCTAGCTAGACAAAGCAATAACCTCTGCCTTATAACACACGATGGTGTGGTTTATTTAAAGGCCATTATTTAATTTATTCAGTTTTATTAGAAGCGGCACTGAGTAGGCTGAATGTTGCACATACGGGGGAGGTAACGAGCTCTCCCCATCATGCGTTCAGACTCTTGGCCTCGGCTACCACGTTCCTGCATCATCATCCTCCTTAGGGCTTCACAGCGGCATTGTGTGTCCATGTTCCTCAATTCTTGGCAACATTGTTGGAGAAATTGCTGTCCTTGGTTGCTTTCATCGTCGTCTGTCACCATGCTCAGGTCGTCGCCATAATATTGGCGGCTTCTTGAAAGGTACATCCTGCAAATCAATATTACGCAAAATTTTATACAGTTGATTTATAGTACTTAATTTTTTATTAGTTTCAAGCAGTGTAGATATATATAATCCTGCAATTAGAGTTGTACCCAATTTTATGTGCGAAGTGATATCAGACTAAGATTTTCACACTTTAAGCTGAAAGTGAACTTGAATCTAATAAACTATGTTGGTTTCAAGACTCTATTTCCTGTCTCAAATTTATATTTACTTTGTACTGTTATTTTCAAGCAGTGTCATTATAATCCTGCAATCAGTAACGTAAGCAATGTTTTGTGCAAGTGATATTATTAGACTTATTATATTGTTACAATTCAAGTTCTGTTAAGTGAATTTGATACTGGGCAGTTTATACCAACTCAGAACAAAAGCATGATTAGACAAATATATTTGCATTTGCTTGGTGATGACAGAAGGATGGAATGGAAATCATTGATGTTTAACAATGGCCAAAGGCAAAATTTATAATGTGGTTGATGATACAAGGGAGACTGTTGACATGTGACAGAATAGCTAACTGGAAGATTAGTGTTAGACACACAATGTGTACCACAATATGTTACACAAGTATGGAGTAAAATGTGCAACTGGCTTAATAGACAATATTTGGGATTTGTCAATTGGCAGCAATTCCTACAATGGGCAATCTCATGTGATAAAGGGAAAACTCAGCATGCACAGGTGTTTAGAGTGGTATATGCAGAAATTGCTTATCACATTTGGATAGAGAGAAACAGATGTATTTTTGAACAGAAAAGCAGGATATGAGAGCAGATTACAAAAGAAATAGCTTATATTGTTAGTGTTAGAGTTACTTCTAGAAACAAATCTTTTGTGTATAGCTTATGTTTCTAGGTAGTAGAGTATGAAGAGTATAGGGAAGAATAGCAAGCTGTGTTGGCTATGCTATAGTTTTGTAATTGCTACTTGGTGATTAACAGAATAATTTAGTTACCAAAAAAAATGTGATACTAATTGCTATAACCATCATATTTTATAATACTCTATTAATTTATGTTTCTTTTGTATTATTTTCATGTAGTGCCAATTTATTGTTGATTATTTTTGAAAAAGATATATTTACAGCTACACACGCATATAATTTAAAAAATAAAATTTTGTGAATTAGTACTGTTGGATTACATCCATTTCCAATGAGTGTCTTCGTCACTACCTGCAGTGGTTCAACCTCTGCCTCTGGATCTGCTCTTGGCATCTTTGAGATCCCTGATTTTCGTACTCGTCCTCTGTTGCGGTGGCGGTGACGGTGTTGGCACTTGCAACGACTAACAAGCACAAGAGAAGAGTAGCAGCAAGAGAAAGCTTCCCCATGACAACAAGTAGTGAAATTATAGTAATTGTGAATAGGGAGAGGTGAATATAATAGTAGTGGATGTGATGGTGAAGTCGATTTTTAATGGTATTTATAGCAAATATGATGCTTTGCATGGAAAATACGTGTTGAATCTCTGCTAATTAATTAGGTAAATGATGAAAGTTATTTACCTGAGAGGTAAACGTGGCTAGCTTCAACCTTCCACATCAATTTACATGCAAATGCTGCCGAAAAGCTTTTTGTCCATCTCTCTAGACGTTCTGTGCTAATATGAAGGGCAAAAATCTCATTGGACTACCGAACATTTCGCTTTGGATTATTAGTTCAACAATATATCCTTAGTCCCTTCGGGGATGGCCGGTTGGTTTGGAGGGAGGGTGCAGATGATCTGGGTTCGATCCTCATGTCTTTGATCTGGGTTCGATCCCCATGTCTTCTGGGTTGAGCCTATCGCACAAAGCTTTTCTAATACCGTTTACATCCCATGTATGGTTTGCAGGCTATTACACAGTGGGGAATTTACCCAGTGCTCACCACAGAATGCTCACCCGAAGGGCAGAGGCTGTAGCAGCTGCGGGTTTTCCTCGGGTTCCAAAAAAAAAAAATCCTAAAAATGCCTTGTGCACACTTCATATATTTGATTGTTCGCGTCTTAGAATATACTTTAATCTTTTTAAAATCATTTGACTTGAACTTATAGTTATATACATACATACTATCTTTAATATGTTTTTTTTCGCTTTGAATATTGGTATAAATGGATTCCCTTAATAAAATTTAACTGTGTCGAACTTAACTAAACAAAGGAAGAAGCATAAAGAACTTTAATGAATTGTTGATCCACAAAAATAGACAGAATATAATAATTGTATAGGACAGGGATTTCGTGTGTTGTGGTAAATAGGGCGATTTTAAAAGTTTGGCCAAACATGTTAACATGAGTGTTTAGTACATCTCTTTTTTTGTGTAAATTTGGTATTAATATTTTATTTTGTAGTAAACTACTGAGTACTATATATTTAAAAACTATATAAAAATAACTATACAAGTTTATTGTAGTTAAATATCTTTACAAAAATCGTAGTCAACATAAAATCATTTGACTTTTGCAATATTTCTGTCACGACGCGAAATTCACATCCTCATAACCATGATGGTACCTAACATTTCAGTTGCTACTCAATCCTTGCAATTAGAGAATCCAGAATATCAGACTTCAAAATATCGTAAAGAAATGCTGGAAAAAAACTAACACAGTAACAACAACGAGTACAACACACAATCCGTTGCGGCGCACAACCCGATCCCTCTGTACAAATACAGTCCTCCCTTATTTCACCATTTCAATTTATCAATATCAAGAATTACGTATACAATCCGTTGCGGCGCGCAACCAGATCCCACTATATCATCAGAATCAATATCATAATCCTCCCTTAATTCACAAGATCATTATTTATCAATAACAAGTATTACGTACACAACCGTTGCGGCGCGCAACCCCGTCCCACCATATCATGATAATCAATATCAAAATCCTCCCTTATTCCACCATATCACAATCATTGCAGCGTGCAAACCGATCCGTAAAAAATTTCAATAAATGTAACCAATCCAATAGCTCAATTACAAGAATCTCTACAATAAAAGAATATGAAAGCAAAGCAATAAAGGAACTACGTACTAATCAAAGGATTTCTACAAGTAATACAAAAGCAACAAGACAAGTTAAGTACGCGACAATTAAGGTGTGCAAGTAAGACAATTAAGGCAAGTAGCATTTAACCACGGAGTCATGGAAGGGACGAACAATTCAATACAAGAATAATTAATGACAAGTAACAAATTACGGCATAGAAAGCAATTAAAGCATGTAACAATTAAAACAATTAATTCATGAAATACGAGAAAAACATGGAAACAATTAATTTGGCGACGTATATACACTTGTCACCACGCATATACACCGTTACACACGTAATTTACATAACATATAGTTCTAGGGTTTCTAATTCCCTCAAATCAAGGTTATACCCAACACTTAACTTGCTCCGCAATCAAATCAAATCTCAATCAGGGTCTTTCCTCTAAAATTGGCCTCCAAACCAATCAAATCCAACAAAAATCGACTTAATATTATCAAACAATGCTAGGAAAATCGATTGCAATAGATAAAGTTAAGATCTTTACACTTTTCTCAAAAAGTCAACAAAAGTCAACCGGGGGCTCGCCCGGTCAAAACTCGGGTCCAGTGGTAGATTCGGACTACCTAAGATCCCACGGGTTCATATATGTGATTAGTTTCAAAACCCGAGTCCAAATAGACTCTCAAAACTCAATTTCTTATTTTTCAAAAACTCGATAAGGTTTAACAAAATTTCATTTGATTCCCATGATTTTGATGTAAAAATCAAAGATAGATTGATGAAATATGATTAGAAATGACTTAGAATCAATCACCCAAAGATTGTAGATGAAATTCCCTCTTCAAAATCGCCTCCTACCGAGCGTAGGGTTCCCAAAATATGAAAATAAGGCTAAAATACCGTCTCTCAGCTTTTTGTCCAGTCGCAGATGTCACAATTGCGATCTGGGGTTCGCAAATGCGAACCCCGCAAATGCAAAGAAGTCCTCGCAAAAGCGAACTCCCCACACCTCTGCTTTCATTGCAAATGCGATGATTTGCTCGCAAATGTGAACATGAGACATCCCACAAATGCGACCACTTTGATCGCTAATGCGAACCAGCTCACCCCAGCACCCCATCACAAATGCGAATAATCTGTTCGCAAATGCGAACCTGACAGAGTTCATCCTACTATCGTAAATGCGATCTTAAACTCGCAATTGCGAGAACTGAACCAGCAGAATCCTAACTCTATCAAACACTCCGCTACGCGTTCGAAATTCACCCGAGCCCCTCGGGCTCCAAATCGAACATGCACACAAGTCCAAAAATATCATACGAACTCGCTCGCGAGATTAAAATATCAAAATAACACCTAGAACTACGAATCAGACATCAAAATATGTGAAGTTTTCAAAGAAACTCAAAAACATGTACATTTACAATCGGATGTTCGAATCACGTCAAATCAACTCTGTTTGACCAAATTTTGTAGGTAAGTCATAAATATTGAAATGAACCTATTCCAAGTTCCGGAATCGAAATCCGAACTCTGTCGCAATAAAGTCAACCTACGGTCAAACTTAGGAATTCTTTAAACCTTCACATTACTAGTTTTCATCAAATTATGTTAAATCAAGTTAGGGACTTCCGAATTCAATTTCAGGCTTACGCCCAAGTCCCAAATGACGATATGGACCCACCTGAACTATCAAATTACCGATCCAAGTTCTGGAACCGATATTCGAACCCGGTAGCAATAAAGTCAACCTACGGTCAAACTTAGGAATTCTTTAAACCTTCACATTACTAGTTTTCATCAAATTATGTTAAATCAAGTTAGGGACTCGCGAATTCGATTTCAGGCATACGCCCAAGTCCCAAATGACGCTATGGACCCACTTGGACTATCAAAATACTGATCTGGGTCCGTTTACACAAAATATTGATCGTAGTCAACTCAAATTATTTTAAAGGCTAAATTTTATATTTTCTTAAACTTTCACCTAAAAACTTTCTGGAACAAGGTGCGGACTGCGCACACAAATCGGGGAACACTAAATGGAGCTAGCTAAGGTCTCGAAATATAGGAGTGAAGGTTAAAACTCAAAGTGACCTATTGGGTCATCACATTCTCCACCTCTAAAACAAACGTTTGTCCTTGATCAGGCATAGAAAGGTACCTGGACAGGTGAAAAGGTGTGGCTATCTATTTAGTATATCGGACTCGGACTCCCATGTGGCTGCCTCCATCGGCTGACCTCTCCACTGCACATGAACTGAAGGATAGCTCTTAGACCTCAACTTCCGGACTTGCCGAGCTAGAATGGCCACCGACTCCTCCTCATAAGTCAAATCCTTGTCCAATTGGACTGAGGTGAAATCTAACATATGGGACGGATCATCGTGATACTTCTAGAGCATGGACACATCGAATACCGGATGGACTGCTGATAAATAATGACAATGCCAGTCTATAGGCCACCTCACCCACTCTCTCAAGAATCTCGAAGGGTCTGATATACCTAGGACTCAACTTTCCCTTCTTTCTGAACCTTATCACACCCTTCATGGGTGAAACTCGGAGCAATACCCTCTCTCCAACTATGAATACAACATCACGAACTCTACGATCGACATAACTCTTTTGCCTAGATTGAGCTGTGCGAAGTCGATCCTGAATCATCTTGACCTTTTCCAAGGCATCCTGAACCAAATCGGTACCCAACAACTGAGCCTCTTTCGGCTAGAACCAACCTATTGCGAACGACACTACCTCTCGTACAACGCCTCGTAGGGAGCCATGTGAATACTCGACTGGTAGCTGTTGTTGTAGGCAAACTCCGCAAGCAGCAAGAACTGATCCCAAGAACCCCCGAAATCCATAACACAAGCGTGAAGCATATCCTCCAATATCTGAATGGTGTGATCGGACTATTCGTCCCTCTGGGGTGAATTGTTGTACTCAACTCAATCCATGTTCCTAACTCACGCTGTATGACGCTCCAGAAGTGTAAGGTGAATTGCGTACTTGGATCAGAAATGATGGACACCGGCACACCGTGAAGACAAAAAATCTCGTGTATATAGATCTCAGCCAACCGCTCTAAAAAATAGGCAACTGCTACTGGAATGAAATGCGTCGACTTGGTCAACCTGTCCACAATGACCCATACTGCGTCGAACTTCTTCTGAGTCCGTGAGAGCCTAACAACAAAATCCATGGTAATATGCTCCCACTTCCACTCAGGAATTTCCAGCCTTGAAGCAAACCACCATGCCTCTGGTGCTTGTACTTTACTTGTTGACAATTCAGACACCGAGCTACATATGCAACTATATCCTTCTTCATTCTCCTCCACCAATAAT